AATTTCCTGGATGCTGGTACCAAGAGTGTTGATTGTGGAGCCAAACTAACTATAACTGTGTACAATCTCAATCTCTTCACCATCCATCCTGATGCCGTCAATCGGCCCAGTAGTGAGAATCTTGTTTTCTTGATATTGAGCCACAATCCATACTGAAGGCTGCAGTCCCTGACCTTCCACAGCAAGTGTTTCAAGTCCTCCTTAGTTTCGGTAAGCATGGTTGTGTATCTGCATAATGCAGATTGAATTTTAATAGATGCATTAAAATATTTGGTAAAATTAAACACTTGTTTTTAATAAAACTATACTTATAGGGGAAAATCCTTAACTTGATGTGGCAAATATACTATTAAAGTGCTTGCCCTATCAAATGTCAAAATTTCTGTGGCATTTTCACTAAAATTTTTTTAGTAAAATGCTTATTGTGCACCCTTCCACTCTCTCCAATTCAACACTATTCACTACTCCACTCCTTTTAATTCAGCCTTGGAGATCTGAGACAATGAATAGGATAATAATAATAGAGAGTAAGATGATGCAAGAATTGGAAGAAAAGAAGCAGTTTCTTTTCTGCAGACAGAAGGTTCCCTCTAAGGTAAGCTAAGAAAATAAAAAGGTAAATGATTAGAACAAAAAAGAGAGTTTGGTAAAATTTCTGGAAATAAAAATAGTATACAGATAGCATATAAAACCCAACTACTTTATACCAACAATAGGCAAATTGAAAACAGAAAAGATTCTAGTTCACAAATGCACAAAAATGGTAATAATAAGTCACCCATGAATATGAACCTAATAAAACATCTTACGGGAGGGGAAATCATAAAACCTTCTGAAATTCATAAAACAAAGATTTGAACAAATAGTACCATATGCATATTCTTGGATTGAATATATTAAGATTATTGGTGTAATCAATTACTATAAGCTATTACCTACTTGATTAATTCAATGCAAATCTAAATAAACTTTTTTATCACCATAAAAGCTGATCCTTCTATTTATATGAAAAGCAAAAGGTCAAGAGTAGCTAAGCTTATTTTGAATGAGAATAGGTCTTATACTTAATTATCAAGACCTATTTTCATTTGAACCTAGTTAGGAAGTGCAGGAATGGTGCTAAGGTGCAGGAATATAAAAGAAACCAATGAGATATAGTAGAAAGATTAGAAACAGATTAATATATATATATATTTATTTAGATAGAATGGAAGTTTTATTACTAGATAATTGCATTACATCACAAAAAATATTCTAGATAGAAATTATTCACATTGAAAATAAAATAACCTAGATATCTACTTAATATATTTCATGGAAATTACTTCAACTTGAATAAAGAATAGGGAAGAATTTGTTAATCAAGACACAATAAGGCATCAATTAAAATGAAAAATAGTAAAATTTATTACATTTAATTTAAATACCTCTGAAAAAAGAAGCACCATAAACAAAGCTAAAAGCCAAGGCACAACTGGGAAAACCTATTTTCTTTTTTTTTTTTCACAGTTTCAGAATGATTTATTTTCATGATTATCATATAGGCAGTTTAATTTTGCTATCTTGGCAAGCACTGAAAATTAAAAAACGTACAGAGAGGTATTTGTGTATTTTACAAGCAATGCATATTAGCAGTCACTAAACATTTCTGTTCAGATCATACAGAAACATATACACCTCTTAACAAATTATACCTACCTCTATGTATCTATACATGAACTCAACTCAATGCCATTAAGTTGTAACTGACTCAGAACTGATCATCCAGTGCATTTACAGAGGTTGTAAATCACACAGGAGGAAGAGAAGATGGGACATCTTTCTCCTAAGGAGCAGCTAGTGGATTCAAACCACCCACTTTGTATTGGTAGCACAGCTGTCTTCTCACTATGTCACCAAAGCTCCCTATATTTATAGAGAGATGTGGATAAAGACAGATGCATAAAAACAATACACAAGAATCACAGAAAGTATTGGTAGACTTTAAAATTAGCTTGTAGGAACACGGTACTTTTAAATACATCCTTTACATTAAATAGCTTTGATTTTCTGACTAGAAGACAAAAAGAGAACATTAATAGTCATCACTTACCGAGTTTACCTACTTGAATGTTAGTGCTTTTGAAAATGAGTTAATATTCATCACTTTCCACATTGAAAAACTAAAGGGAAAAAGAACTGAAATTCTCAGAAATGTCTGGAAAAAGATTTTGTAAAGTCCAGCTTTAAGAGGAACTACAGAGAGATCATAAAAACCTTTGGCATTAAAGTAAAGGCCTGCTGGTATGTAATGTAAACCAGACTGATGTTTGATGCCAATGAGTGGTTCCTACTCACAGTGACTCTATGTTGTTGTTGCTGACTACCACTGAGTCAGAACCGAGTGATAGCAGACCGCAGATGGTCCAACAGGTTTTTAGAGGCAGTGAATTGCACAGGAGGGAACTGCCCATCTTTCTCCTCTGGAGCAGCTGTGATAGTCAAGCCACACACCTTTGGGCTGGCAGTCCAACTCCTTACACTAAGCCACCAGAGCTTTCTAGCAACTCTCTGTATAGCAGAATAAGCACGGCCAGGCCCTGTACTTGAGCCTACGGTTGTAGCACTGTGTCAGTCTGTCTCATTTGAGGATTTTGTTTTTCACTGCTGCTCCTTGCTTTGCCAAGTGTGATGTCTTTCTCCAGGACATGTTCTTCTCCTAAGAACAAGCTCAAAGTGAGATAAAGCCTTTCCACCTCCTTTTCCTTGAGTATTCTGGTTGTACGTCTTCTAAGAAAGATTTGTTCATTCTCTTGCAGTCCATGGAATCCAGTTATTTAGGATCTGCCTAATCTGAAATCTAAATGCCGCGCGTCTCTGGCAATTCAAATCCACCAGTGGATCTTGGGGAGAAAGAGAAGAATTCTCGCTTTATGCAGATTTAACAACCCAGAAACCCAACACAGGGTCAGCTACGACTCCGTTCCAACATGACAGCAATGCATCTTAGATTAGATCCCGCATGATTTTAGTGGGCTCCTGAACCAACACGTTAGCGGCCACCATAGGGGAGGAGGACGCTGCACTCCAGGCCGGCGGCAGGGGCCTCTCGGACCCTTGGGCGGACTCGGTGGGAGTGTGACCCCGCACCACGGAGCGCCACATCACGGTGCACAGGCGGCTCGTGCTGGCCTTCGCCGTGTCCATCGTGGCGCTGCTCGCGGTCACTATGCTCGCCTTGCTGCTCAGCCTGCGATTCGACGAGTGTGGGGCGAGCGCAGCGCCTGGCGTCGACGGCGGCCCCGCGGGTTACCCGGCGCGCAGCGGCAACGCCAGCCTCCCGGGACCTGCCCGGCGCAACCACCACGCGGGCGAGGACGCCGCGCTGCCCGCCGCGGGCGGCGAGGCCACCCCGGGCACCCAGTCCGCCCCGCCGCCGTCGGAGGAGGAGCGGGAGCAGGGGCAGCCGTGGACGCAGTTGCGCCTGACAGGCCCCCTCAAGCCGCTGCACCGCCTTCATGGAGAACTTCACCTTCTCCGGGGAGGTCAACGTGGAGATAGCGTGCCTGAACGCCACCTGTTATGTCGTGCTGCATGCCTCCCGGGTGACGGTGGAAAAGGTGCAGGTGGCGGAGGACCGGGCGGCCGGGGCGGTCCCGGTGGCCGGCTTTTTCCTCTACCCACAGACCCAGGTCCTAGTGGTGGTCCTCAACCGGACATTGGACGTGCAGAGGAATTACAACCTGAAGATCATCTACAACGTCCTGACCGAAAACGAACTCCTAGGCTTCTTCCGCAGCTCCTATGTGCTTCACGGGGAGAGAAGGTACGAGGGCGAAAACCTATTTTCAATGCATATAACCAATAAATTGTGGTATGTATGAAGAGGTACATATCAATACGAAATAGACAAGCAACTCAGCAAGAAAATGGCCAAAGTGTACGAGCAGTAATTCATAGAAAAGGAAACTCAAATGCTCAATAATGAAAAATATGCATACCTCAATTAAGAGTGCAAAATTTAAAACAACCCTGATTCAAATGGTTGGGAATGAAAAAACTTTACAACTCAAGGGCATGAGGAAACCAGAGTTTTCATGTACTTCTGGCAGAAAGTGTAAAATGGTATAACTATTTTGGACATAATTTTTCAATGTTTTGCAACTTCATAATGACCACACTCTGATCTGGCAATTGCAATTCTTGATGAATACCTCAGAGAAATCCAAGTTCAAATACAGGAGATCGTTTCAAACAGAATAAAGTTAACAGATGTTCTTCAATTACAGGATAGATATTTACATTATAAAATAGCTCTACAAGTTTTATGGAAGATTACTTACCAGCATGGATAAATCTCATAAACAAGGCTGAATGTTTAAAACAAGTTGCAAAAATTTGATCTTTCAGCATGATCATATTTAATTTTTTTAACACCTAGGAATCAAATCTATATAATTTTTTATAGAAAAAGTTGTAGTGAAAATAATAACATGAATGTAAAATGGTCAGTAATTATAAGGGCAGGAAGCATGATAGGGAATATTTTAAAAGGAACATAGATTATACCTATAAACTATTTAAAAACATCTAACATGAATAAGGCATAAAATTAAGATTCCATTTGTTTGAATCGTGAACAGAGATGTTTATCATATTTTATATTGTTGACTGTGTATCTTGTATTCTTTCCTGTATGTCTGAAAAATTTCACAATCAACTAAACAAATATAAGGACAAAAGATATATTTTTCTGAATCTTTGTGATGTATAGATTTAAAAATACAGCAAATATTATTTATAAGATAATATTTTATTATATTAAAAAAAAATAAAAGAAACTATTTGCTCAGCAGACCAGGTAAAACAAAGCCATCTTATGAATCAACATAGGCCCTATCACATTCACAGTCATTGGCATAATACAGAACTTAGGTAAAATGGTTGGAGATGCATAGAATACATGCATCCAGAGCTTTTCCATCAAAATCAACATAGACTGAAAGATACAGACTGTCAATTCATAAAGCCCAGGTTACATGACGTACTTGAGTTCGTGACTGTCTGCCTGAAACATTGTCCTTTCCAGTCTGGGATGGCAGACGAACAATGCCATGTGGCATTTTAGTGGAATCTGCGGAGGAAATAACTCTGATAGAATTCCCTGATTTTGGTACTTGATTAGAGTCTTTAATAACAGGTTTGTTGATAATATTCAGGCAGATGAAGTGTTTGACAAACTGCAAACAGCTTAGGAGAGAGAGGATTCCTGAGGAAAAAAGAAGACAAGGGAGGGGAGTGAAAGAACAACTGAGAGCTACAGAGACTTCTTTTTGTTGGTGGAGAGAGTTTGACCCAAAGCCCTATAGAACGCTTTCAACTGTGAGCCTTTTCAACTGTCCTAAGCCTTCCCAAGAAGTATGAGTGTGAGGCTGTGTGTGCAGAATAGCTTAAATTCTGCTTAACTCATCAAACGTGAGATGTTTTTTAGGAAAAAAAGGTAGGCTTCCCTCTGGGTTAAGAAGTGCAATTCCACATGAAATTTTAAAGACTTCTTAGAAAAAGAGTCTCCAGTTTTGCGGGTGTCTATTTAGCATCATTTCCCCCAGTTCTCTCCAACTGTCTTGACAAAACACTATGAGCCCAGCTTGTACTGGTCCTCTCCACTTCTTGACCATTTCCACTGAGCCTCTGTTATGAGCAGATTAAGTATAAGAAAATATCAGAATTTGCTATAAAATATATTATCAAGAACATCATAAATTTGTTGTGAATAATAATAAATTTGCTATGAAACATAAAATATAAGTTTGCTGGCAAATTGCTATGAAACATATTATGAAATATCATAAGCTTGCTGTGAAACATAAACTTATATGATATGAGTGGTTTAAGTATAGAAAAATATTATTAGTTTGCTATGATAAGTTTGATGTGCAAACATACTGGCTTAAGTTTAGTAATAAGAAATTAGTTAGGAATTGCTATGTTAAATGTTAGAAAATATGTTAGGAATATTTGTGAAAAATATACTAAACAGTTTTATATGTCCAAACACGTCAAAACAGGCCCTTAGTAGTTTTACTGCCCCACTGCACACCCTTAATATGGCTTGTTACTGCCCATGTTGCCAAGGAAGTACAATTAGTATAGAACATGATTGGTCAAACCCATGTTGCTTTGGGACTAAATTGATTGGCCATACAACTTGTTTTGAACCTAATATTGTTGGTAAAACCCAAAGTTTAAATATTGTTATTTGTAATGTCATTGCTTGAATACAATGTAACATTCAAAGTTTGAATGCTATTGGTTGAATACAATGTAGAATCCAGCAACAAGCTAAAGGTGTTTATATTTATACCCTAGAAGGCTCAACTAAAAACTCACTTCTGCTGAAGACAGTGAGCTGAACACTGAAGACCTAGAGGTTCTTTTCAGAGCCCAAGACGCAGCCACACCAATAACTGTGAGCTGCTGACCCTGGCCATACCAATGACTGTGAGCTGCTGACCCTGGCCATACCAATGACTGTGAGCTGCTGACCTTGGCAACACTGGTCTCTGTGAGCTGCTTGCTGACTGTGGTCACACTAGTGGCTGTGAACTGCTGAACTAGCCAAGGACCCCCAAAATGCCCCTGGTCATGAGAGGTCAAAGAATGAGTTGGGATTGCAGGGGTGAGTGATTGTTCCCCACTATTAATGAATCAATATGTTGTGATGAATTTATGAATTGCAATGTAGATAATTATAATTAACTGTTTAATGCTTACCATGAATTAACGAATCAATATATTGTGATGATTTTATAACTTGTAATGTAGATAAATTGAAATTATGTTGTGATGAATTATGAATTACAATGTAGATGAATTGTAATTGATTATTTCTATGAATAAATTAACCAATAAATTGAATTGGCTTTTCTAATATGTTTGTGAGTAATTAGGCTCAAGGCTCGTGACAACTTCTCACTTCTTTGTCATGACTTGATCGTTACGGATTCCTTGTTGTGGAGAGAATGTGAAAGGAAGAAGAAAAGGTGGAAATGAGGACGTGCCTTCTAAGGTAGGCAAACCAAGTATTTCACACAGCCCCAATCTCTAGCTTACTCCCTTGTAGAAACTACTCTAGAAAAATGAATTCGGTTGATCTGTGTCTATTTAAATACTTAGCATCCTTTTCTCTCTCCCCTTCCTTCAAGAGTTCTAGAGACACTCACCACAGATAATAAAGAAGGTGATGTTTATGTAGGCAGTGTGAAGGATCCAGGTGATCTTGTAACTACAGAAATACACGAATTGACCTTGCCATAGCCTGTGGTGATATATTAGGAGTGCAGAGAGAAGGAGGATACCTGATGTTCAGAAAAAAGGAGAAAAAAAATTCTAGTTGAATTAATTTTATCTTTGGCAAGCAAATCTCAATGGGAAATATGTACTTGACCTCCAACCCTCCTTCCTGACCTGATTAATTTTGTGCAAAACCAGACCTCACTTCAGAGATAGTGCTAGTGTAGTAGAATAAGAGAATTGGAAAGGTTGAGGTACTGCGTTTTACACAAATAACACATGCCCTTTTATGTTTGCTGGCCAATTCCTTCCTCCCTCAGGGTATTTTATGGTTTTTTTTTGTGTGTGTGTGGTGGTTTTTTTTTTTTTTTTTGGTTTTTTTTTTTTTTACTTTTGTTCCTTCCCCAACCCTCTCTCCCCCCACCCCCAGTGTTTTAGTAAACACTGCTATGACATTTTTATTAGTCTTTTTGCTGTTGTTTCTTGTGTGTCTTGGGTTTTGGTTTTATTTTTTATATGTGTAGTAATTAGAAACTATAGCCTGTTCCCACAAACAAAATAGACCTCCAAGCCTGGAAGCCAAGAAGTTACCTGCGAGGAAACTGAAGGTGGCAGTGATGAAGTGGATATATATGGTTGGTGGAATCAGATAGGTGAATTCCATACCCAGGACCAAGTTAAGGAGGAAAGAAAGACTGAGGGTCAAAATCATCATGATCCTGACCACTTCCAGGTCATCTGTTGGAAAGCAGAAGCTGTATTGAGAGAAGGACAGATATTTCTTCTGAGCTCATTTCCACCTGGGGTCCACAAATTTCTAGGTAAAAATGGGAATAAGGTGAAAGATTTGATTAAATCATAAAAAGGGAAAGGGAAAAGAAAATAAAGAGGCAGGAAACTTTAAATTGAATGAGAGAACCAGAAAAAAAAATACTTACTATCTTAATGTATCTATTTGCATAGATTGAGATTGTTCTCATCTTTAGTTTGCTTGACTTCACAGTCAACACTCTTGGCACGAGTAGCCAGGAAATTAAAAGGCCTATTGCCATGGGAAAGTTTGCTGTTAGGGACCTCTCCAAAGTACTGAAGAGCAATGGTGTCTCTTTGGAGACTGAGACATGTCTGATACAGGCCATGGTCTCCGCAATCACTTGCTATGCATCAAAGAGTTGGACAATGACTAAGGAGGATAGAAGGAGAATTGATGCCTTTGAGCTGTGGTGCTGGAGAAGAGTATTGAGAATACCATGGACTGCTAGGAAAACAAACAGATTTGTCCTGGAAAGGGTTAAACCTTGTGGCTCCTTGAAGGCAAGGATTCTGAGGCTCTATCTAACATACTTTGGACATGTTGTAAGGAGGCACTGGTCCTTGGAGAGGGACATCATGCTTGGGAGGGTGGAGGGACAGCACAGGAGGGGAAGGCCCTCTTTGAGGTGGATTGGATTCAGTGACTAGGGTAATTGGGATGGGAATGTCAGAGACAGTGCGATTGGCACAGGACAGAGCAGAATTTAGGGCTGTTGTACAAAGGGTCTACTATGAGTCATAAGCGACTCGACGGCACATAACAACAACAATCACAATGTCTCTATATCCCTTTTTCTTTTCTAAAAATTTTCTTGATAATATTTACAAAAGTCATAGACAGATAAAATGTAATCTCAATCCAGATTTTACTATCAGTCTTTAAAGATGTGGAAAAGTAATCACTGGCTTCACATGTAAAGGAAAGAAAATGAAAATAAACACAGTGCTACAAAAGAAGAAAAACAAAGCACAAGGCCTTATATTTCCAGAGGCCAACACTTACTACAGCTGTTGTTGTTGTTGTTGTTATGTGCCGTCGAGTCATTTCCGACTCATAGCGACCCTATAGCAATCAAAATATTTTAATACCGTTACAGCAATAGAATTGAGAGTCTATAAATAAATCCATCCACCTATGGACAACTTGAAAAGGGGCATCACATTTGGAAAGATGGTCGTGAAGGTGAGGAAGACCCCCAATGAGATGAATTGACAAGGTACTTCCACAACAGACTCTAGTGTTTCAGAGATTACAAGGATAATAGGACAAAGGAGGGTTTGGCTGCTCTTAGTGTCACTATGAGTTGTATTCAACTCAACAGAAATTAACAACAATGACATGGGCAGCTTATCTTTAACAAAATCTCCAAAACCACTAATGGGAGGAAGGTAGCCTCTTTAACAAATGATACTGGAAAAATTTGACATCTATTTGTGGAAATCTGAAACAAGATCCATACCTTACACCATAATAAAAAAGTACAGATATCTAGACATAAAAACTAAAACCACAAAGATAAAGAAAAAAATTGGGACAATTTTAGGAGCTCTAACCTATGGCATCAAGAAGAAAAAATTCTCAACACTGGGCCAATTGACAGCACCATGATAGATGGGGAAGAGATTGAGGTTATTAGACATTTCAGCTTGCTTGGCTCTACAATCAACACTCTTGTCACCAGTAGTCAGAAAAACAAAGACAAATTTCAATGGGGAAGTCTGCTGCCAGGTACCTCTCTAAAGTGCTACAGAGCGATGATGTCAGACTAGAATATAAGGTACACGTGATCTAGGCCATAGTCTTCACAATTGCCTGTTATGCATCAGAGAGCTGGGAAATCACTAAAGATGACAGAAATATTGGCGCCTTTGTGTTGTGGTGCTGGAGAAGAGAGTTGAATATACCTTGGACTGCCATGAGAACAAATAGATCTGTCTTGGAGAAGTTGAAACTAAGTTTCTCTTTGGAGGCCTGGATTTAGAAGCTTCATCTCACATAATTTGGGCACATAGCCATGATACAGTAACTGGGGCAATGGGGATTGGTGTGTTGGAATTAGTGAGATTGGCTCAGGACAGGGAAGAGTTCAGAGCTGCTGTATACATAGGGTTGCTGTACATCATAGGCTCAACAACACATAATAGCAATAACTTACTATGACATGTGTGGAAGCACGAGTAGCATCCACTTTCTAAACAACATACCTCCGGAAACTCTATGAACTTTGAATGTCAATAGTTGTAGAGGGGCTTCAGGCCTTTTGTTCATAGGATAGCTATGAGTCAAGCTCGACTCAAAGGCAATCAACAACGATCTACATGAAGGTTTCTCCAAAGGAAAGAGAACATATGAGCTGGGGGAAAATGTGTTTAGCAATGACACATCTTATAAGGAATTCATGTCTAAAATCAATTGCAAAATGAGCAGTTGTTGTTGTTGTCGTTATGTGCCATTGAGTTGCGAGCAACTCATAGGGACCCTATATATAAGAGCCCTAAACTCTGTTCTATCCTGTGCCAGCCACACCGTCTCCAACACACTTACTCCCACCACTCCAATCATAGAATCGATCCATCTCATCTAGGGACTTCCTCTCCTGTGCCATCCCTCCACGCTCCCAAACATGATGTCCCTCTCCAAGGACTGGTCCCTCCTGGCAACATGCCCAAAGTATGTCAGATGAAGCTTCAGAATGGAAATCAAGGAAAGATGAACCCTCTCCCTCCACCCACCTCTTTCCATAGTCTACTTCTGACCTTCTGGCCAAGCGGTAAAGCAACATTGCATCCAGGGACTGTGGTGTATTGTAACTTTATTTGCTTCCAACTTCAAGATAATCCAATTATCTGCGATGATTCCTAACACCAAGATGACCAAAGCCAAAGAGGAGAGGATCATGTTGGTGGCCTGGATATTTCGCATCAATATTACCACCATTGTCCATGGGATTTTCTAGTTGAAACTACTACAAATTTCTCACATGTAGATATCTCTTCTCTTCTCTGATTTAATTAGTTCCAGGGTGAAATCTGGACTTTGAGTGTTAACTGAGGCCCTGGTTTTGGCAGAAGCTGAAGTAGCAGAAGTTATAAAACAGAAAAGATAAATCCACCTTTTACCGCTTCTTTATCTGGGTCATCTTGCTGTCAGGTCTGCTAACTGCCATGGAATCATCTGTTAACTTGACCCTTGACCCTGGAGTATAGTGCAGTGGAAGGACCAAGAAGGAAAAAGAGAGAGAGTGAGTGAGAAAGAGAGAGAGAGGGAGAGGAAGAGGGTGAAGGAGAAGGAGAGGGAGGAACAGAGGGAGGGAGATCAGATAATTTAGGGTTATAATTTTTTGTCTCAAGACAGGTTGACAGTAAAGTAGGAGAGAGTGAAGGAAAGAATTTCAAGATATTTAACATGAGTAGTGTACTAGCAGGCATAACAACAGGGTGTGGCCTTTTGTTATGGATGTTACAGGATGTTTTGAAGAAACATGTGTTTTCATTTAAAGGATTCAAATAAGATTGATTAGGTAGGTTTTTAGAAGACAAATCAATGCCTTGGATCCAAAAGAGCTGGTATGATTCACTGAGTCTTTACAATCTGTTATTTGTAACACATAGATGATAATATATTGTCAGGATTATCTTTGTAACTTCTGAGAGAACATGCAGAAATACTTAGCTGATCCTTCCAGATGCTTTGGGTCTAGTATGGCCCTTCAACATCATCCTGAACTGAGGCAAGAGGGCCTAAGTTATGCACAGAACAATAAGGGAGTCATTCAATGCATATTACTCCTGAGGTGGTGTCTCCATTCTGTCTCAAGGACATTTCCTGAATGTTTTAGTAGTTGGAAGCCTTAAGAGTCAATACACTTTGAATGTTTAAGTAGGTAACCATTGGATGCACTAGACTAAGAGCTGAAAAACTTTATTGAAATTCAGCAGTAGTTTATGGAACACTGATGAAAATAGTCTCCCATCTCTCTTGACTATATTATCTCATTGTAGATCATTTATTTTATTTGGGTAAAACTGAACCTGGTTTCATGACCTTAAAAAAACTATGCTGATTTTCTTCTCCATATACTTATCTATATAAGATACTTACATATTACTTATAGTTTTATTTCAAAACAATGCATAGTAGTATTTGAATGTACAGGAAAGGCTTTGTGGTTAAGAAAATGGGTTCAATTTGGTGGGTAGAGGGAGAGAGTAGAGACAATGGGAAAGATCTGGCTGGGTCTTGAAAATATGAGGCAATTGTAGGTATAGTCCAATTATGATTAATTTTATAAAACACAATGTATGGGAATGATTATATGTAATATAATGTCAATGAAGGAAAGCATAGGGGAAAATCTGCATAAAAAGACACTTATTAAGAAATTATGTGGGAAAGCATATGAATAAATTCTGATTGTAGAATTAAAAAAAAAGGAAAGAAAATGGACTTAGGCTGGAATTAAATTCTATCTAGTTCTATTCACTGGCCAGCTGTGAATCCCTGAATTCTCCTCTAGGTCATCTTGTCTCCTCTTCCTCTGCAGTGGAGTTGGAACTGACTGACAGCTGACCATCTAGTGGGTTTTCAGAAGCTATAAGTAGCACAATAAGTTATTGTCCATCTTTCTCCTTTGATGCAGCTGGTGAATTTGAATTCCCAGAGATCACCACCTTTAAGTTAAAACTGCAATTCCCATGGACTAAAAGAGCTCACCAAAAGCCATCAAAGCTCAGTTAGTTCTTCACTTTAGTAGAGATTAAAGAGCTCCTGGAACATAAGAGATGATATACAAACATCTGCCATAGTACTCACTTGTTTTCCATGAGAGAGCAGAAAACTGAGAATTCCACATGGAGAAAATACTGGAGAATATGCTCACAAATCACACGTGTGTGTGAGAAATGCAACTTTGAACAGAAGAAGGTAAATTGAGATTTAGTTGTGGCAAAAGCCTTAGCTGAACTTTCCAAAAGCTCTGGACCATCAGTTAAGATTCAATGCTTACTGCTCCTGAGATGGAGTCTCTATTTTGTCTCAAACACAGTTCCTAAATTTTTCAGGAACTGAAAATTTTGAGAGTCAATAATTCTGGTAGTTCTCATTCCTCTCCACTCCCCTGTATGGGACCAGCCTTTTATCAGGGCTCCCGACTTCCACAGAATCATTTCTTGGCTGTGATATTTGACCAAATAACTTAGTTTGACCGGTGTGATTTAGTTCAGAGGACAGACATCTTCCCTCTGAATTAAATTTCAGTTAAATTTAGACCAAGACTAAAATTACTTTATTCATACATATAATGATGCTTTTCTTTTTGTGAGATAGATCCTTAAGTTTTCTCTATTGAAAGAATATATGCGTTTAAAAATTTCAATGGGTTGTGAGAGTTAAGGATTCAAAGATATAGTTAGAGAAAGAAGAAGTGAAAGATAGAAGAGCTAGATATTATAGAAGAAATCATAGTTCTAGCAAGAGAGAAAGGAAGTTAGTGGTGTCATTAAACAGACCTAAAATAGAAGGGAAGAACTTGCTTTGCATTTCTCAGGCTGAAAGAAATGGAAAATTTAAACTTCAAGTTGCAATATTGTAAGATTCTATGGACAATATATTGAATGACCAGGAAGCATCAAAAGAAGAAGGAGGGAATAAATAGAGTCATTTTACCAAGAAAACTTGATTGACACTAAAAAAATTCCAGGAAGTACCTTATGAGCAGGAACCAATGGTAATGAAGGAGGATGTTGAAGCTGCATTGAAGGTATTGGAAAAAAAAATAAGGTCCCAGGAATTGATGGGGTACCAATTGACTTATTTCAATTAACAGATGTATCCTGGATATGCTCACCAGTCTATGCTAGGAAATTTGGAAGACAGTTGTCCAGCCAACAGATTGGAAGAGGCCCACATTTTTTTCCCATTCCCAAGAAAAGTATTCCAATAGAATGCGAAAACTATTTAACAATATAATTAATATCACATGCAAGAAATACTGCTGAAGATCATTTAAAAATGACTAGAATACCATTTGACCCAGCAATTCCACTACTGGGAATATACCCTAAAGAGACCATAAATGACATCCAAGTAGATATATGTATACCCATGTTTATT